ATATTTTTATTTGTCAAAATTTAAGACCAACTTTCAGCCTACAATATAGGTCTTATTTTAGATTTTAGTAGTCGTATAACGTGGAGCCTACTTGCGATACAATTAGTTTGAATTAGATTCTATATAACTCCAAAAGCTGGTGGAAAATTAGTATTAATTATTAATACATTAATTGAAATACTACAAACGCATAAAGTACTACAATTTGACAGATACTGTTCTGTAAATCTGAATTAGTTAAAAATAGTATTTGATAGAAAAAGTCATTTGCTAATACAAATAGTAATATTTTCCTAATGAAATAGTTAATGGTAACTAATTATTAGTTTTTCCCAGTCAAATTAAATTCCCGATTGGCAGACACCTGTTCAAATATATTAATAGAAACTAAAACCCGTCGAAGACGGGTACGACAGCTATAGTTCAATATAAATTGCAACTGCAATGATATTAAAAAAATACATTTTTTTAACATTATTTTACATTCCTGTGACATATCAATATTAATCACGTATCTAAAATATACTTTTCTGTAAAGTTATTAAAAAATTTCAAAATAATTATTTCTTGTAATTAATAATAAATATTTTTGATGTTTAAGGTACTACTACACTTTAGAATTTAAAAAAATTTTATTTTTTTTTATTGTATTTTTTAACTCATTATAACTTCAGAAAACACCTCATAAAGTATTTATAACCAATTGTAAAAAATAAAAGTAAATTTTTCAAAAAATATTCAATTAATGTAAAAAGTCATTGACAAATTAAGTAAGTCTTTAAGGGGATGGTGGGGTCCAGCTTTTTGTTACGACCACTAGAAACATTGGTGCTAATGTATGTAACAGTGTCTGAAATAAAAAAAATGGTGGGGGTTCAATTTGCAAAAGAATTTTAGGTAATTTATGGATGGCCTCTAACGATACATATAAGTTTAAACGCGTTTTTCTCAAAATAACGTTTTCTCAAATTGCGGACAGTTTATCTCTGAATCTATTGAACCGATTTTAATAAATGATAACTCGTTTTGTTTTTTAGCATGTCCTTTGTGACAATTTACCAGAAAATGGTCAAAAAATTAAAAAAAAACATTTTTGCAGACTAGAAAAATACTGAAAAACACAGTGTATTTTTAAACAAATTATTGAAACATCTGCTATTTTTTTATTTTAGTCGATTTTTCATTATTGGTGGTAGATTGCTATGCAAGACACCTTCCTTTTTAAAAAGCAATTTGGATTTTTTGTTTCCGATTTGTCAATCTTGAGATAAACTGTCCGCAATTGGACAACTAACTTTTTGGAGTTTCGATCTGAATGCTGTCTGCAGATTATGATATTATATAAAAATTAAAAACAAACCATTATTTTTATTCTCTAAATATGTACTTATATAGTCAAAAAAGTTTTTTAAATATTTATAATAAAAGACCTAAGAAATTTTTTTTTTAAATTTGGTCTTTTAAGAGCCTTCTAAAGTGTAGTAGTACCTTAATTTCATATGATCCTTGATGTATTGAATTTATAAATTGATGTCAAAATCGTTCTGATTTTTTACACGGAGATTGAATGAAAAAAATCATTACAACAGAATACTATTACCTGCCCTTAATTGGCAGATATTGCAAAAATATGAAAAATTGTACCTTAAACCGTTTTCGTTCCTAAAAAATGTTAAGAACGTTTTTGGAACGAACATGGTTTTTTGCCCACTGGGCAATTATTTCAATTGTTGTTTCCATATTTAAATGAGATCTCCCTTTCCATTCTATCAAAGTTTAGTTTTTAATTGTCTTTATAATTTAAATGTGATCAATTTAGACATTTAACAGGTATTAATTTTATTATCACTTTTTCCTAATATTCTGTATATTTTTTCCACAACCCAGGCGGAAAAGTCGGACGAATGTCGGAATTTACAACCGGCTGGGATCCGCGCCCGTACGGACCGCCAGCACCGATGATCTGTACCGAATCGGATCTGAAAAAGCAACCGGCGCGGTACAGATTATGCTCCGACTGTCGGAACCGTCTTCCCACTATTGTCAGTACCGGCTCGGTACTGGATTTCTTCCGCCGGCGGATTTTATTTTTCTGCGGCGTCGGAAGAATGACGGATATGTTGAGTCTGTACTGGCTCGGTACTGGGGCGGATCCGACTGCGGATGTCGTCATTTATTGTCACATTATGAATCACATTATAAATTTATTTTCAATAAATGTGTCATAACTAAATAATTATTACAATAATTAATTGCATTATTTTAGAAAATAATGATTAATTAATAAATGAATTTAATCAAAATATTAAGTAATTATTTATTGAGACTTTTTTCAAAATTAACCAATTAAAAAAATTTGTTGTGCACTTATAATTTATAATTATTATAAATAAATTTATACTATTAATATAAATTTATTATTATTGAGATATTATTAATTAATATTATTGAGAATTAATAATAAATTATTAATATTAATAAATATTAATATTCATGTTAATAATTTATTATTAATTCTCAATAATATTAATGTTAATTAATAATATCTCTATAGTAATAAATTTATTATTATTGTGATATTAATTAAAATTATTAATATTATTATGTTCAATATTATTATATTGAGATACAATTATTTAATATATTATATAATAATAAAAATATAGCTGTAGCATTGACGCGTAGTTATTCGACAAGTTTAATTTCAGCTTGTGACACTTGAGAGTATTTAATATTTGAGAGTCCCTTGCGAGCGTAGCATAGTGGTTAGCGTGCGAGATTTCGGTGCGTAAATATTCGGTTAGGCGTAGGTTCGTACCTCCAAGCGTTAGGATTTTTCAAATGTGTATGTAATAAAAAATTGCGTTTAAGTGTATAAAAAAATTTAAAAATGTGTAAAGTGAACTGTCAATGAATTGTCATCAGTATTTATCTTTTGCAATTAATTATTATTTTTTGTATTGATATTTGTTGAAATTATCATTTGGATCCGACCCGGTTGTTAGTCGGTAGAATGCCAGCGCTCGGCTGGCTATTAAATGAAAAATCCACGGTCGGTAGAGTGCCAGGTCCCAGCCGGTTGAATTATACACGGAACGGCTTCTCCCGGCCGGTCAGCGGGCGGTAGAATGCCAGTTCCGAGCCGGTTGCCAGCGCGTTCCTGGCCTAGTCACTATTCGGTAGAATGCCCGTTCACATTCGGTTGGCAGGCGGTTCCCAGCCAGTACAGTTACACCGGCGTCAGTACGGGCTAGGATCCGCGCCGGTTGGAAATTTCCGCCTGGGAATAATCTATGAATATAATTAAGAAGTAACTCAGCTATTATTTTACCAATTCATTCTCGGCTCTAAAGAGTATGTTTCATTTTCTGTCTCTTGTAATATTAAACTTTCATAGTTGTCAAAATAATTTCAGGAAACTCAATACTCAAACTTTAAAATCCCTAGTTAAATAAAAAAAATTTTATGAGTGCTTAACTGTTTATCAAAAATTCATTCTATGTGGACGTTCGCATGAAAAGGGACCACTTTGGCACAATGGACTTATCTATATGGGCGAATTCCTTGCAAAATTTGGAAAATTTTGAGTGTTCTTAGAACCTTTCTGGTGAAAAATTCGATGAGTTACAGAATTTCAAAGTTTAGAATATCAAAAACCTCACTTTCAGAAAATCGAAATCAAAGATTGTAATGCGAATATCTTTGATTCTTCTAGGAAGTTATTCAGATAAGAATTGTTTTAAGTCTAGTACAATGAAAAAATAACGGACATCCGACAAAGTGGTCCCTTTTTAGTTCTTTTTTAACAACGAAATAAAATACTAAAAGTATCAATAAATTAATAAAAAATGCATAATTCGACGTGTGAGACCCTGATGTAAATTAAGAAAAAAGTAATGAATATTTCAAATTTTCATCGGTTCCACTTTTTGCACGAGTCTTTTATTTAATTGTTCTCTGTTAAATTTTATAATAAAAAAATATAATAATTTAAATAGTTTGATTGTCTCAATTAAAGAAAATTGATTTCTTTCCATTCTAACATTTGATAATACCAGAAATACTACATATAACACATTATTATTTTTGTTGTAGACACAGCCTAAAAATACGAAAATAAAAAACGTTTAATTTACGTTTATAATAAATAAACAATTTTATTGCAGAAAATAAAGTAAGAGTCCAAAAGAAAGTGTATAATCAAACATTTAATAAGTTAACATTACTCCAAATTAATCTTGGTGCACTACTTCGATTCAGCCAATCAGAGAAGTGCACATAATTCGACTTTCGATTTTTTATTCGACCTTTTTAAGCTGGTCTTTTTTAAAAAAGAATTTTAATTTTAAGTGTTTCTTGTTAGAAAACAAAAATTTTATTTTGTTGATAACTGTTTCCCTTTTTTCTATAGTGCTTTTTCTTATGGTCTTCTCTCGACGCTTCTTCTCTTTTATATCAGAAATGTATATACATTTCACATCGTAATTCACGCATAATTCACGCTTCCTGGTAAATCGACCAAAGATTACAGTAATTTCTTTCGATCTTTCGAATGGGTAACGCCCAACTTAGCCTCGCGAGAATACTTTGGATTAAAACAGTAATTTAAAAAAAGCCGGATAGAGAGAAAGTGCACTTGAAGCTTTTTAGCAGACTCGGATTAACACTCAAGACTTGTTGGCACCTTAAATAAGAAAATCTCTTAATTCTCCCCTTGGACTTTTTTTATTATATTTTCTTAGAGATATAAATTCCATTAAAAAGCGGGCTTGTACTTTACGTTTTTGAATTAATTGAAATATTTACAAGATTTGAGTAGGTTTAGAAAAAATTACCCTCTAAAGTAGAATATTCATCAGAGAATTCTTCAAAGAAACAATCTTCCAAGACTAGACTTTCTATAAAAAGAAAATTAAAATCAATAAAAAGTTAAAAATAGTGTTCTGTTTTTAGATAGAAAATAGAAAATCAATTTAAGTAATTGATTAAATTGGTTTTAGGTGAGGAATCAGGAGGATACACTGGAAAACCATTACCAACCTATAGACCGGCTGCTCAATTGGTTTCACTTGGAGGAACTACGAGACTTTTCTGTGAGGCTTATCTCGGAAATGTCGGTCTTCCTGATGCCAAAAACTCTGTAACTTGGTCCAAATCGGACAGCAATGTAACCCTACCAAATCATGGCCGAGTATCCCAACACAAAGTTTCTCGGTGAGTAGAAAAATATTATTTCTTTCAGTGATAAATATATTTGTAAATGATTACGATGGACACCTCGCTTTTTAGTTGAAAAAAAGGACACCTAGAAAATATTTATTTTAAATGAATTTTTGTTTGGCGATATAATATGTGTAATGTACTTGATTTATGAGATTTTGTGCTAAAAAACTATGAAGATAATATTATGTTCTTAAATCTTTGATCACAAAAACTCATAAAACAATTGCATCACACATAGTATCGCCAAACGAAAATTTTCTGTTCTACTAATCATTTTTATCTATATTAAATGTTTTCTACATATTATAAAAAAATGGAAAAGGACACAATGATCAATATCTGTCCTAATAAGCTAATAAGCGAAAAAACATTCACTGTATAGATCATTTTATTGAGTACATACTTTCTTTTCATGAAACATACATACATTCATTTCTTATAAAGTAATTAGCATTAGAGTATATAAAAACACAGGAAAATACAGGAAAATGCGATTGACGAACTTTGTCGAATTCTGGTAATTGCACGATTCAAAATAAAACATTCAAAAAAATCAAGCATATTCTTTGGTTTTTCCTTAATCAATAGTGACAATAAAAATTCAAAAATGTTATTAACTTTTAGAAATACAACCAATAATACACGACAATGCTATCTTAGCTTCTAACAGTGATAGAAAGTTCATTCAAAAAACAATAAATTGCAAAAAAATCAATTAACTGAAAAAATTAAAAATTAAGTAACAATAAAAATTATTATAAGTTTAGAACGCGATTCTTCTTTCATCGCTATTTTTTATTGGCTCTTGAAACTGATACTATCACCACAATCAGGAAAAGACTTGGTCCTTTCTTTGTATCCTTTATGCCTGAAAAGAAATTCAGAAGTAGTGAGTGCTTTAAACTCCATAGGCGTAGAAACGAAAAAATATAATAATAAAATTTAAAATTATCAACGTCAGTATTAATTATTATAATTATTACTTTTATTAGTGTTAAAGTTGTTGTTATTTTCATTATTGCTATTATTATTAATATAAATATTAGTATTATTATTAATGTTATTATTATTGAGGGTAAACACTGTAAAGAGATACCAGGATGCACTCCCTTTGCAGAAACTTCCTGCTATCTTGAAGAGACACATCGACCTCCACGTCCGAATATACATGTTCACGTGCCCTTGGATATCATAGACGTCGCATCAATGCTCCGGCAATGCTATAACGTCACGGGACAAAGAAATAAAAAAAAACGAATGACATGGACAAAATTTTGAATGAAATACTCCAAGTGGGTACCTCGAAAAAGGGGTAATCCCACCACCGATTCTGATCGGGTGCAAGCCCCGATAGTCGGTGCAGATGGCTCTAAGGATTTTGGAGGGAGCCAAATAGATAGCCAGCTGACATGCTACGAATCAAATGTCGCAAATCAGTTCCTGGCTATTCCCGGGATTTTTAAGAGCGTGCACCAGGCATTCAAGCGCTAAAAGAACGTCAGTCGTGACATCCAGGATGGCGTGGCGGTTTTGGAGAGTGCGTTCTTAACAATTTGTAAGAATTTACGTTTTATCCCCGAGCCGTTCAAAGACCAGGAGCCACAACATCCAACTGTGGGAGCTCGACAGCAGACGGAGAGCACTACTGCAGCTCTGGACGGCGTAACAACACGCCCTAATAAGGCAAAAGGCGTTAATAAACGCACCAGGGAAGGTGCAAGCCCGGATGCGAGTCCACAACAAGCGACTCGAAGCGAGAAGAGAATTAAGCGAAAGGATGTTCCACAGCTTGATTCTGAGTCGCTAGTTGGAACAAAAGAGACGCCCTCAAATAGTCCTAGCAAGTCGTATGCTGAGACCGTCTTGAAAGACGGAGCGGACAATGGGGACGGCTTCAAAGTTGTTAAAAACAAAAAGAAACGGGCTCCAAAAAATAAGCCCTCAGGTGAGAAAAAAGAGTTTCCGAAGCCCCCTTTGAAGCTAAGGAGCACGAAAGCTCTTAAAATCTCGGCAAGAGACCCAAAGTTGTATAAGGGTATCTTGCCGCTGATAAAAGCAAAGGTAAACCCAGAAGATACGGGTACCGTGATCCGGAAAATCAGGAGAACTTTTAAATAGGAGGTTCTCGTGATAGTGAAAAAGGGTGGAGAGACCTTAAAATTTGCAGAGGCACTGTCTTCGGCCCTGCATGGCAAAGCTGAGGTCACACCTCTGGTGAATAGAAGGTCTCTAGAGATTAAGGATTTGGATGAAACCACCACAGAGGATGAGGTGACTTCAGCACTGAGAGAAAAGCTGGATAAACCCGACCTGAAGATGGAGTGCCGACTTTTGCCGCGCTACAGAGGAACTAAGGTTGCTCTGGTACGTCTGACTGAGGCAGAAAGTAACACTCTGCTAAAGTTTGGTAAAATAAAAATCGGCTGGATAAATGCTCCAATTCGCGAGTATGTTGAAGTAGCTAGGTGCCAAAAGTGCCTAGGTGACACAGAACCCTATCCTGCAAAGGCCCCGACAGAAGTAAAAACTGTCGGAGATGCGGCGGAGAGGGACACCTCGCGAAGAGCTGTAACGTTAAGCCAAAGTGCCTTACATGCTTGGACCTGGGGAAGCCGGAAACGGATCATGAGTCCGAAAAAAGAGCCTGCCCGGTTTACAGGGAAGAACTGCAAAAGATTAGAAGGGCAAATCCTTAAAATTTTTGCAGGTCAACCTGCATTCAAGTAAGGATGCACAGTTGCTCCTAATGCAAACAGCAAGGGAAAATGAGGTCGATATCCTGTTCTGCAGTGAGCAGTATCAAGGAAGCGACCTCGCCCCTTGGTATCAGGATAAGGCGAAGAGAGCCGCCATAAAGCTGTGCAACCCAGAATTGCGGGTTGACAAGTTTCTGGAGACGAGCAGTGGATTCGTGTGGATAGAGGTAGCTAATATACGTATGTATAGCTGCTACTTCTCACCCAACGACCCAACGACCCACTGACAAACTTCGAAGCCAATATCGAAGACCTAGAAGCGAGCCTTACAGATTCTAGGCTGGATGTCATCATCACTGGCGATTTTAACGCAAAGTCGCCAGAGTGAGGTGAGACAAGACTCGACAAGAGAGGAATTCGTATTGAAAAAATAAACTCCAGAAACGACTTATTGGCTGTAAACCGAGGCAATACATGGACTTTTAGCCGAGGTGCGATCGGATCAATTATAGATCTAACGATCGCATCGTCTAAACTATTTAGCCGCATAAGCGACTGGTGGGACTGACAGGATGTTCCTAGTCGCAAAACCTCCTCGTGGAATATGAAGAGACTCGACAAGGAAAAGTTCGGCCGGTCCCTAAGAGAAGCCCTTTTAATTGAGAACTTGGGCTAGGTGAAGAGGCTGAGCAGTGTAAGGATCTTGTAATAAAAATAAACGCACGAAAAAGAGAAATCATGTAAAAATACGAAAACACACAAATAATTTCCGAGCGAGTGACGGATAGAACGCGCCTGCGCGATAGACATAGGAACTAACTCGCGAAAGAGAATGATCCGAGAGTATATCGGCATCCCCTCCAGAGTCTCGCAAAGACTCAGCTCCAGACGCCCCGCCACCTCGCGACTAGCCAATCACGGAACATTAGTACTTCGCGCGACGACTATAAAGATAGGGCCTTCGCACGATCCCGACACATTCGACTCCACGGAGCTTCAGAGGTCTTACCTCTGGAGAGTCTTACTCTCGCACTTCGAAGCAACGATCGCAGCACGGCAGCCTCAACGATACGTTCGACGAGCGGTTTGACCCTCACTAGAGTCTGACTCTAGTAAGTCGAATCAACGATACTTTCGACGAGCGGTTTGACCCACACTAGAGTTTGACTCTAGGAAGTCGAAATCAACGATACGGTCGGGGAGGGTTTGACCCTCGAGAGAGTCTGACTCTTCCACCGACACCTTCGACGACGAAAAGGGAAAAAGGGGAACACCATTCTTCCGATTTTTCGCTTCTATTTTCTCTTTTGGTTATTTTTTTGAGTATTCCAATCTCGAGATCCCACGTTTCCCCCTATATAATTTAACCTTGGAGTTTTCGCGTATATATTTTTCGACGTTTTCGCTTTGATATATTTTTATTTATTTTGAAACGCCTGTGCCGTTTTCTTTTTTTTACGTAGCGTAACGAAAATATCTTTGTAGAGTACTACTTTTTTGCGAACGAACCACCGGGTTCGATTTATTTTTTTTAGTCTTAATCTTTATATTCTAATAACGTTATTTTTTAAATCATTGTAAATATGTTCGAAATACGATAATAAATTCGTTTTGTTTTGTTAAATCTGATAATTTATGAACCCTGATCCGACGAGCTAATTTCCGGCAAGAAGTTTTTCTTACATTCATTACAGCAGTCTGGATGGGGAGGTTCAAGCGGTGAGAAATATGAAAGTCACCGCGTCTATGCCACGCAAAGGCGCCATTCCCGTAAGAAAATCCTTGCACTGGTGGTCAGAGGAACTAGCCTCCTTGAGAAAGGAATGCCTCAAAGCAAGAAGGACATATATCCGATCTAAGGGAGATCCCTTGCTGAAAGAAGCTTTCAAGGAGGCGAAAAAGGACCTCAATAAAGAGATCCGCAGGTCGCGAAGCCGTAGCTGGAAGGACCTAATCGAGGAAGTCGATAAGGACCCATGGGGTCTGGCTTTTGAAATCGTTACTAAGAAATTAGTGACGAGGCAAAAGACCCCCGGCCTGGACAATCCCGATTGGGTCAGAAAGATAATAAGTTCTTTGTTTCCTCCTGCAGAACCATACCTTAGAAGGGACTGGAGTTTTTGCAAAGTGGAAGAGGAAGAACTCTTTACACTTAGTGAACTACAAAAAGCAGGCAAAAGATTAAAAACAGGCAAGGCGCCTGGAATCGATGGGATAAGTAACGAGATCCTAAAGTTGGTTATCGACACTTCACCCCAGATTCTGCTTCGATGCTTCAATCTTTGCCTTGAGAGA